TCCTCCTGCCTCAGGCTCCTGAGAGCTGACAGTATCAAAATTTTATTGAATAGCTGGGTGCTCTGCTTTCTTCATTCTTTCTCCCGTGTGACAATGTTCCCTCAGGGCACAGTTTAACCTACAGTTAAAGATTTAGGGGCTGGGGATTTAGCTCAGTGACATAAGCACCTGCCTTGCAAGGGCGTGGTCGTGAGTTCAATCCCTGGTACCGATAAAAAAAATAAAAATAAAAAATAAAGATTTAGATTTACCTGGTCCTTTGCTCTACTTGAAACCCAGGGTGGAAATCTGAGGCCTAGAGATGGAACCCAACCCACCACCTGTTTGGGTACAGCCCATGAGCTGAGGATGCTTTTGGTATTTGTAAATTTGTGTTTTACAAAAAAAGGTCAAAAGAGGAATAACATTTCGTGACATGTGAAATGTATGCAGTATAAATTTCAGTGCCACAAAAACAGTTTTGTGGACATGGAACACGCACACTGGTGCTTGTGCCCTCTGAGGCTGCGTTCAGAACTGCAAGCTTGAAGCAGGTGTAATCTAAACCCAACACTAGAGCCTATGTCAAAATAAAAAGGGCTGATGAGGCAAAGACCCTGGGTTCAGTCCCTTAGTATCACAAAATAGACAAACAAACAACAACAAAAAGCATAATTGCAAAGCTAACATGTTCTGAGGGAGACCTTGTGTTCCTCTGAGCTAAAAATATGTATCATCTGCCTGTTGAGAGCCAGTTGACCCACTGGGTCCTAAAAGGGCTTCTGGCCAGCACCCCTGCAAGTCCTTCGAAGAACTTCCCTTAAGATAGGTTCCTGGCCATGTACAGACAGTTCAAAGCTGAATCCATCTTTGAGTATGGCAACCAGCAGACCCTGTGGCAAGCGCCATGTCCCGGCAGGTGCAGCCGAGGGACCCACAAGCCAGGCCCTGCTCGCTGACATGCGCTCCTTCTGAGAAAGCCGAGCCCTGGATGTTGAGGTTCACGGGTTAGGCCTGGCCTCCTCTGTTCTCTCAAGGACTCCTTGTGCGACCCTAAGGACTCTGTGGCTTCGGCAGAAGCAGGATGCTGATGGGCATTGCTGGAGCCATCCCACGGTCATACCATCCCCTCGTTGTCCTAGGAGAGGCTGCTGCTCACACCTGACCTCTCAGCTAAAGTCTTCCAGTTTCATTTCCGTTCTGCTTCGACCTTCAGATGCTTATTGGCCATTTGCACATCTTCTGTGTAAACAGCTCCTGCATCTTCCCAGCCAAACTCAGGAAGGGACAGAATGGTGTAGTGAAAAACAGGAGCCAGCTTGATGGCCATGGGCCAGAGTGGCACTGGGGCAATGGCACGATGGCCATGCCAGGGAGTGGAGGGCCGTTTTTCAAGTCGGACAGGTTGGTGGAGACCAAGTCAAAAAGCCCATTGGCCCCTACGGAGCCTAGAGGGGAGCCCCTCAGTGAACCAACATCCAGGAGTACCCCTGGCTCTCTGCTGGGGTAGCCTGCCATCTCCCTCCAGACCACCTCTGTCCAGCCTGGGCCACATCTCATCACAGGTGTGCGTCCTTTGCTCTCTGCCCAAGGACACTCAAGAGACCCGCCAAGCTATTACCACTATTCCGGGCAAAGGACGATGTACCTGGGCTGAAATCAGCATGCTGGGGGTGGGTGCAAGCATTGAGGGATGGTGTCTGGAGGGGCTGCATGCGGCTCTGCAAGAGGCTGTGAAGGTAACCTCATTAGGGAAAAAGTTCTTTACACGCATGACTAAGCAAAGGATCTCAGAGTGAGAATGTCCTTGCTGGGGCGGGGGTTAAATCCAACATTCTACAAGAGAGATGAGAAGGTGCATCAGTGTTGCAGCTCGAGCAGCTAGAGAGGCAGGAAGTGTCCACCCCCAGCGCCCAGAAAGAGCCAAGCCTGCCATACCACACGAATTTCTGACCTCCTGCCCCCAGGATTGCGATAACATTGATTTCTAGTTGCCAGTCTGTGCTGAGTAGTCCCTCCCTGGCCCAGGGACTGGTATAGAGCCCAGGGCTCCACTTGGAACACCAGTCCTGTCATGTAGATATGGTCGGGCGGGAAACTGAACTGCTGGGGTCAGTGTGAGGTCCAGCAGATGCACAGCAGGTGTCATAAATGGCCATGGCTGTGCCCCGGGTGCTGCTGATCCTGGGTGGGGTGAGTCACAGCCAAAGAGAGCCGAAAGCTAGTGCTACCTCGCCACTTCTGGGGAGAATCCATTCACAGTGCCCGGCACATGGGCATGGAGTGGGTCCTCTGGGGTCTTCACACTGCAGGAGGGGCCTCAGCTGGCACCATTACCCACAGTGACCCAGTATCAGGAAGGGGACAGATGGACCAGCTGTGGTTCCAGGCAAATGTCCCCAGGGACAGCGGGTATCCAGTCATAAACACGCTCAGGGCCACCAGGTTGAGCGCAGGAGGAGTGGAGGCCATGAGGGGAAGCTCGTGGACGGGACCTTTAGCAGCAGGAGAAACTGTGGGACTGGGACGCTGAGGCCAGGAGAAGCAGTGCTCATCAGGACTGGGTTTTCCGCCCTGGTGACATCCTCCATCTTGCAGGTCTCCACCAGGCAGCATTTCCACGGGAGACACCTCTGCCCACATAATAATAAGCGGCCGCTGCTGGACTGCGTTAAATGAAGTCTGACTGTGTTTCTACCCTGGCTGCTGGACGCAAGATCAAGGCTTGAATCCCTGTCAAAGGGTCCAGCAGTGCCATTGCTGGGCAGTGACTGAGAGGAGACAGGAGGAGTGGGGAGGCTCCCGTCCTGCCTTCAGTCACCCCATCAGAGCAACAGGGCTGAGATAAGGCACCGCTCATAGCCTGACCGGGGTGCTTCTGCCACGCACGGTCCTGGAGACCCCGGCGAAGGGCTGGCAGCTACAACCGGGCGGAGAAGGGAGCCCCTAGCGGCGAGGCCGAGGATGGCAGGCCTTGGAGCCGGCGGCAAGTCCCCAGAGACTTGGGAATCAGTACCCTCTTGCAAAAGAGTAAGCAGAGCTAGAGGTCGGGGGTCGCGATACCTCTGCAGCCCCGGCTCTGCTCTTTCCTAGATGGGGAAGCGGGTCAGCGGGTGCCTCGGTAGGAATTCTCCAGCCCCTTGATCTGTGGAATGCGCGGTCAGAAACCCAAGCCGGAACTTTGCCTGCAGCATCTGTTTAAATGCCTCAAAGCAGAAATGCCTCTGGCCTGGCTGGCCTGCCAGAGTGCAGCGCTGGAGGTCCTGGGGCTGAAGACCTCCCTCTACCCTCCACCGTCTTGTCCTGCCTCGTTTCTCCTTCGTTTAACAGAGATTGGTCGCCCCTTCCATGCCTGGGCCGGGGCTATGGGAGGGACAGCCATGACCAGGACACACACCTGTGGACACACAACTCCACTCAGTTCACAGACGTGAAGCGGAGGCACACGGAGGGCAGTAACTGGTAGACTAATTTCTCGGCCATTACAGAGAGTGCTGCAAAGGAGATGGGGTCCCCTCTCAGGGCCGCCCCCTCGATCACCTGCAGCGGCAGAGGAAGAAGATGCAGCTCGGCTGCACCAACCACAGATCACACACGATGTGCTCGTGAGCACACACATCCATGCATGAGTACACACTCACGTGTATGTACACTCACATCATATGCATGTGCACATGACACACTTGCACACACACACTCCCACATATACACACTTACTCAAACGCTTGTCCACTTATATCCAAATGTATAAGCATATGTACACACACAATGTGACCCAGTACAAGACTTCAACTAAACAGTGATGATCATCAGTAACAAAACAGTGCCGAATGTTCTGGAACACTGGACGTGGGATTGATCTTCCCTAGATCTCTGTCCTAAAGGCTCTGTTCTTCATAGCCTGGCCATGAATGCCACCCTTTTAGAGAGAACACAGGCTCCCAGGACCTGAACAAGACACAACAACCAAAGTCTGTAAAAATTTCACATAGGAAAACTCCACACATTATATTACACCGGACCAGAAGGGATGTGGCCAAGCCAGAAGACTGAATGGCCATGCAACGTGGAGAGCAGGATGGGGGAGGGAGAGTGTTCTGAGGAGCAACAAGAGTTTAGTGTCCTTCCCAGGGAAGGTGGCCTTGGAAAGTGTGTTCCTGTGCATGACACCAGGGTGCAGCATTGCAACACCGCTCCATGTACTGAGGAGCTACGCCCCCAAAGAGACCCAAAATAGCCAGGCTTTTCCTCCCCACCCTTCTCGGGGCTGTGTCTTGCCACGATGTAGGTCCCTGTCACCTCCTCGGCCTCAGTTTCCTGCTCTGGAAGCTGGGTTGTTGACCATGATGAATGTATTTCCTGGCAGCTGGGACACTGTTCCCGGAGTAGCGTGGCCACTGCTCTGCTGGATAAGCCACAAGCTGGGGCCAGGAGATAGGCTGTGGTTTTTAAATTTTGGGACGCATCAAACCTATTGAGAAGCCTCAAATATAGTATGAGCAGCTCCTATATGCCCCTCACCTGTATGCACCAACATCTGACCATGTGTCACACTGCACACACACACACACACACACACACACACACAAAGGTTCTCATCCTAACCTCAAGGTTAGGATGCTTTCTCTAAAGCCTTTGGCATGTGTCCTAAGCCCTGGCTCACAGCCTACCTACCGCCCAATACAAGCATCAAACTTGAGAAAGTCACCCATTGCAAGGATGGGAACCAATGCACAGTCCATATGCAAATTCCCCAAGGTTCCCAGGCATGTCTGTTCTAATTGTGTCTTCCTTTTACATGACTTGTTTTGAGGTGAAGCTCACACCACAAAGTGAACTGTCAAAGTGTTCGATTCCCTGTGACACCTTGGTACGTTCACAGCCACCAGCTTTATCAAATTTCAAAACATGTTTTGTCCCCAAATGCAAACTCTTTCCTCTCTAAGGAGCCAGTCCTCAGGCTCCCCTCCCCCAGCGCAGCTGTGTCGGCAGGTGTTCACTGCAAGGAATCGTATCAGGTGGGCTTTTTCTTCAAAGATTTTATTATAAGTCAGACGTACAACCAGACCATTCATGTGTTTATTTGGGGGAGGTAGGGGATGCTACCCCCTGGCTGGGCATCTTTGGACAAATCCTTTCCCTCTCTGCTCTTACTTTGTTTATTTGGGGACAAGGAGCTTTGAGGAAACCTCCCTGGACCTACTCAACCCTCAAATTGTGAGTGGACCTTTGTCAAATGACCCGGACAGCACAGTGAGTACTCACTCAAGCCTGGCTTTTGGGGCATCTGTCCCACCTGACAGGTTCCACCCAGGCATGGGGCCGCTGGGCAAGTGGCGATATCCCTGACCAGGGGACCAAGATCCCTGGGGGGCAACAAGTGTTTCATGCAATTCTCATCCATCAACTGCTCCAGGCTTTGTGGCTCAGCCTCTCATCTGTGAAATGTGTGCCAGACACTGCCATGGAGACTCAGGCAACTGCAGGCCACTCCAGAGTGAGGGCTTAGAGAGGAGCAGTGGCCACCTCGTGCCAAGAGCAAGTCTGCCTTTGCATCCCAGTGCTGGCTTGCTCCCCCTTTGTTTCTCGCTGGGCTTGTGAGGCTGTATCTCAGCATCTGACAGCATCCCCTGGAATGGGGCTGGAACGGGGGCAGTCCTGGGGGATTGCACTGCTTTGTCTTTGAAGACAGGTCTTATTCAAGCTGCCTGTTGGCTGAGATCATCCTTCAGTAGCAATGCAAACATCAACCAGGGCAGGGCCTCCCTACCTGCATGGCTGGCTGCCCCAGACACAGCCCTCTGGCCCGGAGTTCCCTAAAGGCTAGAAAAAGGGAGGAGTGATCCATTAGTGCCCAGAAAGGGTTAGCAGATCAGATCAGACAAATGATTGTATAATCAATACAGCAATGGAAGACAAGGAAGAGAGGCAGGAACAGATGGAATGAACAAGAAGTATGGACAAACACAGAAAACAGTGGGTCCTGGTGACCACGATCACTTCCTGATTTATCCATTATTTCCAGACTACTGACTGTGCCCTGTCCTGGGCAAGCAGCGGGAATAGGGCTACACACTGTTGCATTTATCCTACCTCCAAAGAGTTGTATCTGGGAAGGTAACAACCGTGAGGGCAGCATCCACTCGGGAAGTAAAAGCTGGGGCTACTGAGCAGAATGGGCACTCACACGGTGGTGGGGCTCTGTCACTGGGAATTGACCTACGATCTGTGATGACCACTCTGGGACCTGGTCCTCCTGTGTGGGTCCTGGGGCTGAGCAATAGGAAGAAGTCAGGGTCCTGCAAAGAGCCAAGGCTGCTAACTTTCCAAAAAGGACTGATTTGGTAGGAACTTTGTGACTTCATTTTGGCCAGAACTGAGTTCAAACCCCAAGTGTATTGCTCCCAAGCTCTGTGCTTCTGGAAAAGCTGCATTTTCTTTCATCTTTGAAGTAGGTGCAGTGAAAACGTAAAGGGAGGAAGCTGGCCAGCACCATCACCATCAGGGGGGTCCACCTCGGTGACACTCTCCAGAGATCACGATGGACAAGCCCATCTCAGGACCTCACAGCGCCCTGGGAGAAGAAACAGGAAATGGTGGCAGGTGCCTTAGAGCGAAAACAAAATCACTTGGTGTGAAGTTTGAAGAAGAGAGAATTTGTGGACGCTGGGGAACCTTTTGTCTTCCCAGGAGGGTTGTGTAGCCCACAGAGTCCAGAGCTGGTGACTTTTCAAGGTCATTATTTGAATTGGATTTTTGACATGGTCACTATCAGTTTCTCATTAAGTTAGTCTCTGTTAATACAGACATGGGGGGCTGGGGATTTAGCTCAGCGGCATAAGCGCCTGCCTTGCAAGCAGGTGGTCGTGAGTTCGATCCCTGGTACCGATTTAAAAAAAGGAAAAGACAAAAAAATACAGACACGGAAGATGCTGCTTTAGGTTTCATGGTCATGTGAGATCTCTGCTCTGGTCAAACATTTCTCCAGGAACTCATTCTGTTTTGATGATGGAGTCACTGGGAATAGAGGCCAGATGCTGGAGGTTGGCTTTGCAGCCACTGACTCCTGTGGTCCTGAGGGTGACAGTGAGGCTCGAACCACATCCAGTTCCTACGCGGAGGACAAAGTGGGGCTCAGGCCTGCGTGTCTGAGCTGGCAGCAGATGAGACCATCCCAGCTTCTCTGGCCCCTGGGTGGCTGTCAGTGGCTGTTGCTAAGCACCGTCCCTTCCCTGCAGACATCTGGAGGGAGGTATGTTGCCCCGAGTGTCCATACATCATACAGCAAAAGCCTCATCCCATGGACACAGCATCTACACTGGGGGACAGGGCCTAGCTGGGGATAAAGACACCACGGGACACAGAAATTCCCCTTCCAAAAGCAGACACGCGTAAGACAGCTCCATCTCCCAGGATGTCCTTCCCTGCGTGGTCCGGAAAGGAAATTAGCAGACATGGCCAGATGGCACCCTCAAGGTGCCTGGCTGGGATCTGCTGCTGTGATGGATACCAGCAGATACCAGACAGGTGGTTAATGCTAAGGGAAATGTTTATGGGGGCACGGGGCAGGGATTACAATTCATGGGCTTTTTTTTTTTTCAAGACACACACATACTTTAAACAAAAATCTAAGGGAAAAAATTCTACTTACATAGAAACAGTAGTTGGGAATAATGCTCTAGGTTTTAAAATGGGCTGCACTGGGCCAGGGATTTTACTCAGTGGCTTAAGCTCCTGCCTGGCAAGCTCGAGGTCCTGAGTTTGATTCCTGGTACCAAAAAAACAAAACAAAAAAATAAAATAAAATGGGCTGCATTGCGCTTTTCTGGATTTTCCAAATTTTCAACCATAACCAACTGGTACATTTGCAATTAAAAAGTTTAAAGTCCACCTTGTTTTTTAAGATATAATTTAAAATAAAATGCTTCGTAGGTAGTGTTTCATTTTATGAGATTAAAGGGCCGTGGAGGTGGGGGGGGTGGTTACACACGAAGACAACATTAATCCCACTGAGTGGCACACTTGAAACCCTCAAGAGGGCAAATTCCATGTTGTGTGACTTTAATTCAACTTTACAAATGGAAAAAGCAAAAATATTCACCGTGCCTATATTCGTGCATGCCTGAAATTCAGATGGTTGCACTCTAACTGTAAAATTTAATAATAGAATTTATTTAGAAACCATGAAAATGCAACCTAATTCGAAGGGCACAATTTGATGAGTTTGGACAAACATCAGCCCTGGTTTGTTTACCACCAGTCACCCTAAAGAATATTTCTATCACCCCAGAACAGCCTTCTTCCACCCTGGAAGGCAGTTCATCTCCATCCCAGGCAATGACTGGTCAGCATTTTGTTAGCATGGATTTGTCGTTTCCTGGAGTAGACGTTAAATTTTAAAATTAATAATAAGTGTTGCAAGAATGGCCAGAGAATGGCATTTAAGTAAATACACTGCATGGGCCAGGCAATCTCCACATGGACATAGACCCATCCGTAGCTAGAGGGACACAGTATGATCAACATACACAGTAAATATTTTAAGAATGTATTACAGCAAAAGACACACCGCCCCTAATCCACCTCAAAATCTTCTCCCTTGACTCAAACACATTTATCCCATCATCCTTCCCACCTTCTGATGTAATTCTGGAAGTCCTCTCTCCAGAGTGTCTTTATGATCAAAAATATGATGATGGACGCTACCAAATGTCAGGCTTGTGTCCTCCTCATCCATCTTCTTCACCAGTTCTGACACCGTGCAACTTCCAGCCCTTCCCCAAAGTTGAAATGACCATGAAAGGTAAATATCTGAATCAGTTCAGGACATCAAGGCAGCCATGACAGTACAACTGAAGACGCTCACAAAAGATGCCCAGAACTGCTTCAGAAAGAGGCGAGATGATGGGAGAAATGTGTTTGAAATGAGGGTGAGTCTGTTGAGGGGGACTCATGGCAAAGTGTCTTTTACTGCCATAATTTTTCCAAACTTAAGTATTCAGCATATTTTTCAAATTATTTCCTAATTCCCCTATGAAATGAGGATTATTTCTTTTGCTGTCTCACAGACGAGGAGAGTGAACTGCAGAGAAGTCTTTCATTTTTTACTTGGCTATGACCAGGTCAATTTCCAGGCCAGCCGAATGAACCCTGTTTGGGACAACAGTCCCGATGGTGGGGAGTTTCCGTGAATTAGAAGGTCTTGGGGGGTGGGAACAATGCATTTCTAGAAGATTCTAAATTCTGACTTGGTGTGGCCGGTCTAGTTCAATGCTTAGGCTTTTTTTTTTTTTTTTTTGTCCCAAACCCTACTGTTTTCTAATAAAGACTTTTTAAGCCAATGCTCAGACCTCTTCAGTTATGAAATGATTTTCAGTTACAAGGGGCAGGGGGCTTGGAAAGGATGGGTGGTGTGTATGTAGGGGGGACTCTTAGATACTTAGAAAAAACCAGAAAAAAACCCAGGTTCCTAACTGCAAACTAAAAGAAAAACAATTGCCTTCATAACAAAGGCTGTGCGTAGAGCTGAGCAGGCTTACAAATGATGACAACCTCACATTTGCCTCCCCAAGCTCAGTGGAAGGAGGGGAATCCCAGAAAAAGAATTAAAAAAAAAATTTTTTTTTAACCTTTTTATCAGTACTGGGGATCGAACTCATGACCGCCTGCTTGCAAGGCAGGTGCTTATGCCACTGAGCTAAATCCCCAGCCCTCCAGAAAAAGAATTTAAGGTTCAATGTGACACCTAAAAAATTCTCAGGTGGGGTTAAAGACTTACGTAGCTCAGTGGCTGAGAGCTTGCCTAGCCTGGGCGAGACTGTGGGTTCTGTCTCCAGCACTGCAAAGAACAAGACAAAAAACCAAAAACAACAACAAAGACAGAAAACAGAAAACAAAACAAAAAGCCCTTTGAAGCCATTCATGGTGGCACAAGTCTGTAATTCCAGCATTCTAGGAGGTTGAGGCAGGAGGACAAGTTGGAGACCAGCCTGGGCAACTAAATCTAGCAAAACCTTGACTCAAAATTAAAAAACAAAAAAACCAAACAACAACAACAAAATCCAGGCTGAGGCCGTTGCTAGGTGTGAAGGCGCTGGGTTCAATCTCTAGTTTCGTAAAAAAAAAAAAGAAGAAGAAGAAAAAAAAAAAAAAAGTCCAAAAAACACTTCTCTAGGCTAACATGAGACCTAGAGCAAAGGCACCAAACCAAGCCCTTCTGGCCCCGTGGGCCTTGGACCTCGCTAGGAGCGGGGGCAGTGACCAGGATGCATGGACCGCTAGCTGCACGGCTCAGTGAATGAAATGCACTCACGCGGAGAATCAGCCCACTGAGCTATGTGGAGTAAATGCAACCCGAAAAATCAGCGCCAGGAGACACCACTGTTGGGGCTCTGAAAACCCTCTCAGTCCTCACCTGATGCATGGCCCAACTCAGCTAGAGAGCTGATGGGTGACCACAGCGCCCCCTGCTGGCCAATGTGATATTCCCGCTGTGACCCACGCAGGAAGGCACCGACAGATGCTCCAGCCTGGGCACTGCCACCAGCCATCCCTGCATGCAGCATCCCTCACTGTCCATCTCTGCAAGCCTCACTTTGCGCACACGTGGCAGGATTCACCGCCACAAGGCACATAGCACTGCTGGGACTATGGCACACCAGGTACCCAGCTGGTCCTCAGGACTGCAGGCATCGCCTTCATCAATTACTCCCGGGCACTTCCGTCCACTCATCTCCGTGACCCGCAGGACTGCACGCAGGCCGCGGTCACAGCCCCACAGGTTCCCAGCCTGCCCAGGGAGTGGTCAGGTGAGGAACCCCATCATGCAGCATGTCTGACCCGGGAGCCCCAAGACAAGGCCATGTTCACTGCCCGGGAAGCAGGACAGCCGGGTTTACGAGCAGACTGTCCCGGCTCAAAGTCCAACTCCACTACATGCAGATTGTACGGACTTGGGTCACTCTCCTACTGTTCTGGGGCCCCTATTTTCCACCCATTCAATGCAGGCAATGGAATACTGGGGGGATCGAGTGGAGATGTATACTGAAAGCATAGCCCCGGGGCTTAGACCACCCTTGCGGCATTGCCCGGGGCTCCCTGGACGCCACTCTCAATCCTTTTCCGGCGCTCCACCAGAAGGGGGAGAGGGCTGGGTGCGGAAAGGGGGGACCTGGATGCTCCCGTCTCGCCTCCCCCAGCCCGATTTGGGGAGCGTCCGCCAGTGCAGCCGCTGCCATCCTCCTCGGCACCCCTCATTTATCACGGACTTTAAAACGAAAGCTGCAGGGGAGGGTAATTAAGTTTAATAGGAGCCGCCGTCGATTGAAAGCCACAGGGGGGAAGTAATTAGATTTAACAGAAGCCACGGCTTTCTGAACCAAGACGCACAGCGTGGGAGTCCCCGGTCCAGAAAGCCTAGGGGATGATGTCTTTTTCTAAAGGCTTTCCCGGTGACATTTTCTGCGCGCTCCGTCATTAACGCCAGTCACCGACGGGGTATGAATGTGGCCTTTGCTCATTGAAATTCATTAGGCCTGGCATCTCCGCGGCGTCTCCGCTTTGCCCTCCCCACCGCCTGTGCGCGGGCCCGTGCGCTCTCCCCCCACACCCAGGAGCCCGGGGTTGAAGGCACAATGGGCAAGGCCCCGAGTTAAGCCCAAGCCCCCTTTTTGCCCCGCCAGGGCATTCTCCTTCTCTGCAGGCGCCGCTTCCCCCAGGCCCCCCTCTCCCCGCCCGCCGGGGCAGGCGCGCCCGACCTCCCAGACCGCGCCGCTCACGGACCCCGCGCACAGGGCCTCCAGGGCCGAGCCTCCGACGCACTGCACCTCGAAAACAAAGGAGCTGCGGCCGGAGTTGGGAAACGGAGTTCACCGACGCCGCAGCTGGGCCAGCCCACCCAGCCCGAGAGCCGCTCTCTCAAGCCACCGCCCCTCCACCCTCCATCCACTGGGGAAGGCGCGCGGGACGCCGAGGGCGCGCGTTGCGCCGGCGCCGAAACAGAGGCTAAAGCGCCACCTCGCGGCCGCCCCGCGCGCTGCGCGCTCATTGTGTGTGCGCGTCTGGCGAGCAAATGTGCGTGTGCGCGTGTGTGTTGGGGGGTTTAGCAGGATAAAGGGGCGCGGGTTGGGGGGCGGTAATATTGGGATCGCCAGAAGATAAAACTCAGAGAACGTGAGAAAGTCTGAGCTGCAGGAGGAAATGGTAACAGACAACAGGAGATAGAACTCAGGCTGGGACCCTTGGAGGAGGCAGGGAATGTGGTCTTTAAGAAAGGCACCAAAGCCCGGCCCAGGATGAAGGAGGCCAAGCTGCACATCCCCTAGTCTCTGGGTTCCCGTCATTCGCCCCAGCTAAGGCCGCACACCAAGCGCATCCTCAGGGGAACCAGGGAGGAGCTTCCGTTGTCTACTGCTTTGTGGAATTAAACTCACACAACCCAGAGCCCCCGGTTGCCGTGCCTTGGGGAGCTGTTCTCCGGGGCGGGTCGTACATCGGGGCAGCCCCTTCCCCCCCAACAGGACAGCGTGGGCGGTGTCAAAAGGGCGGGGACTAGGAGCCACCGCCCACCTGCCGGGGCCAGGTCAGGAGGCGGGATGAGAGAGGGTGTGTGCGGGGGGCGGAGGCTTGATGCAATTCTGATCAGAAATGCTCGGGGATCCCAGGCACCTACCCGCGGGGCTGGCCGGGCAAGCTATATAAGGCTGTAGCCCTGCGCTACGGCGCCGTCGGAGTGTGCGTGCAGTGCGCCCAGGCGCTCTTAGCTCACGGTCAGCTCGAGGGCATCGCGCACAGGTGCCACAGCCCTGCCGCGCATCGCAGTCGCCGTGAGCCCCCGGAGGTGCCATGTGGAGTGCGCCGAGCGGATGTGTGGTGATCCGCGCCCTGGTCCTGGCTGGCCTGTGGCTGGCGGTGGCGGGGCGCCCCCTGGCCCGGCGGTCTCTCGCGCTATCTGACCAGGGGCCGCACTTGTACTACGGCTGGGACCAGCCGATCCGCCTTCGGCACCTGTACGCCGCGGGCCCCTACGGCCGCTCGCGCTGCTTCCTGCGCATTCACACGGACGGCGCGGTGGACTGCGTCGAGGAACAGAGCGAGCACTGTGAGTGCCCGCAGGTCCCGGCACGCTCCCCGCCGCACCCCCCCCCTTTATCCTTCCTCGGCACCCGCGGAACCCCGGGATCTCCTAAGAACCCCAGCTTTTGGCACCCTCACTTTACCATCCCCGCCTCGGTGCCCAGACGGGGCGGGGGTGGGGTGGGGCACAGGTGTGCAAGGTGCGCGCCCACGTGTTAGGAGTCCCTATCCAGGCCGCGGCTTCTTGCTTCCCTTGTACTTAGGTTTGCTGGAGATCAGAGCAGTCGCTCTGGAGACCGTGGCCATCAAGGACATAAACAGCGTCCGGTACCTGTGCATGGGCCCCGACGGCAGGATGCGGGGCCTGGTAAGTGTCCGCACCGGGCAAGGGGACATCCACGGGCAAGGATGCACCCAACGTGAGTTTTCTCTCACCTCCCTGGAATGCAGCTTCCAGGGAAAGCTTTCAAGGCCCAATTAATCAATCCAATGTTCGGGTGCCTCCCCCAACACGGAAATTTGCGGTCCGAGAATGGGTGAAGGCAGCCATGCATTCGAAATTGAGCTAAAGGCTGCGGGCGGGCGGAGAAGACCCACTGTGAGGCTCCCTTTGATATTAAACAGGAAAACTCGGGTCACCCTTCTCAGCCTGGGCTTCGCGTGTGGTCCTCTCTGACTCTCAAGTCTAAGAAGGAAAAGCTATAAATTGTATCTTCTAAGAAAATTGGCAGATTTGAAGGCAAAAAAACCCACTGAGATTGGCTAGATTCCTTTTCTTTTTTTTTCTTTTGTTGGTTTGGGTTTGGGTACTGGGAATAGAACCCAGGGTCTTTGCACTGAGCTACATCTCCAGTCCCGATTTTAAATTTTGAGGCAGGTATCTCTATCAGTACCCAGGCTGGACTTGAACTGTCTTTCCATCTTCCTGGCTCAGCCTCTTTTTATATATCAGGTAATCAGTGTGGGGTAAGATGCAGATGTATCAGAATAATACTTCATTGCTGTGCAACCCCCAGCTCACCTGCACGGAAAATACCTTGGTTTGTGGGTTGGTGGGGCTGGGGGATGGGCTGGGAAGGCCCAGGTAACCGCAGAAGGCTCAGGCTGGACGCAAATGGATGCTGGGGTTGGTGAACAAAGGCTGTGAGCTCAAAGCAACTGTGCTTGGAGGAGCCTGTGTGAGGTCCGCAGAGGCCAGGCCTCCCACACAGCCTGGGGCTCCTGGGAGGAAGGGGGGAAGGGCTGGGGCGTATGTGTGGGCACCTGCAGGGACCCCCACCCCCATTTGCAGATGGCCCCAGAGCACTGCCTCTTAGTCTCAAATTGTTCAGTGCCTGTGCCATCCACTTACTCCGCTTATCTGCTTAAAAAGATGGTCCAAAAATGCTGACCCTCCAAAGTGCTCCAAACCTGCCATTGTCACTTTTGTTATGTTGACATTTACTAGGACGTTCTCGGTGGGAGGGCCCTGCAGGGGCTTTGGGTGTAAATCCACCCCCATGCAGATCTAACCCAAACTGGGGAGCCTGGAGGAAGAGCTTTTCACTAAAGTCCTTTTCTGCCTCTTGGTATCTTGGCCATAGCCTAGCACAATTTGAGACCTTTATGCTTTTTAATTTTTAAAATAGAAGTGATACTTTTGTTTCTAGAAATTCAAAATTGATTGCATTTTCTGTAGGGAGAAATGATGATACTAATTTCTCTGCCCCCCCCTTCCAAAAAAACACTATAGCATTGAAATATTTCACAATTTGCATTTTTCAGAAATTCAAAAGAAACTGCCCCTGATGGCCTGGTGTGCCATTGGCCTGGGCCGCAGCAGTGGGTTCTTGCAGTTAGACTTATCAGTCCCTTATCAGCACACAACTCACCCACCTGCAGTTCAGTGACCTTTGTAGACTCGGGCAGACATGGGGCCTGTGTTTACTGAGCAGCTTCCCAGCTCCCCGCTTAGGCTTTCCCCTTGTCCCTGCCGGGTAATAACACCAGTGTGAGGCAGGACTCACCCATGGTCACCTCTCAAGCCTGGGGACTAGGAATGTTCTGGGGGAGAAGGGAGATTTCCCGCCCCACACATTTCTGGCCCCCCGCTGGTGCAGGCGCTGCCTTGGGTTGGGGGGAGGAGGCTCTGGATTAGCTCTGTTCCTGCTGAGCTGCCCTTCGAGCGGGGAGGTGGGGGGGAGAGTTCCTCCAGTGAATGAAGGGGGCCCATGCTTAGAAAGCCTCTCAATTACTGCCGGTCTAGATGCTGGCAAATAGACGCCCTCATCTGGACCCCAGATGGGGAGGGGTGTGATTCTGAATCAAAAGACGGATCCTAAAATGATCCTGTGTTTGGTCAGTTTCCCAGAGCGTCAGTGGGATGCGATGAACTTTTTAAATGTAAATAGTGAAAGAGTTTTATGCTGTGCCTATGGCTTTTATTGCTGAGGCCAGGGCGAAGTTGAAAAAGGGAGACAATGGATTTAGGGGGAAATATGAAGGAGCGGTATTAAGGGTATACAGGTATTAAGTAGCTATGCAAAAGGAATATATGGATGTAAAAACTAGAAAACATTTATAAAGACAAAATACACTTACTATATTCATATACTATTGGGCTTTAATATGATTATGGATTCTACATATAATAAAGCTTGCAAGCTATGTACTTACATTATTTGCATATTTATAAAGCGAGTGCAAGTGGTGGAAATCACCAGTGGTGGCCTCCACGGATGCTTGGTGGCTCAGAGGGTGCAGCGATTTCTGCTGTCTGGGCTGTCACCAAGGGTGCTCACGTCCCCTGTCCCCCACAGCCCTGGTATTCGGAGGAGGACTGTGCCTTCAAGGAAGAGATCAGCTACCCGGGCTACAGCGTGTACCGCTCCCAGAAGCACCACCTCCCCATCGTGCTGAGCAGTGTCAAGCAGAGGCAGCAGTACCAGAGCAAGGGGGTGGTGCCCCTGTCCTACTTCCTGCCCATGCTGCCCAAGGCCTCTGTGGAGCCCAGCGACGAGGAGGAATCCAGCGTGTTCTCGTTGCCCCTGAAGACGGACAGCATGGACCCCTTTGGGATGGCCAGTGAGATCGGGCTGGTGAAGAGTCCCAGCTTTCAGAAGTAACCGAGGCTTTTCGGATGCTTCCTCGGGAATGGTCCCGAGACCCCATTGGGTGTAGCTTTAGAAGGAAACCTTAGAAGTTGTATATATTGCAGGTTTTATATTGGCTGTGCCAGTCTCTAGCAGATAGCCTTGTCTGATCATAAAATTGTAAGCCTCCACCTGCCTGGCTGCTATCCAAACCCCCCCACACACACCCGTACCTTGATTGCTGGACACACTGCTGTGCTACTGTGGTTCTGCTTGAATACCTCCATTGGTGGGGAACTCATTCCCTTTGGGAAAATTCCTAATGCTGAACCAAACCTCTGTAATTCTTTCCGTCATTTGCAGCACAGGCCGCTAGATGGTAAGCAGTTGTTTTTACATTCCCGTTCAGCTGATTAGGTCTGTGAAACCTTAGGTATTTTGACCACATGAAGACCTGATGCAAGTCGCAACTCCGAACAGGACTGTGAACCTCCAAATGCTCCTGACCAGAGGGACAGCCAGGCTTTGGGAGCAAGGGAAGCCTGGAGCTCTGCTCCAGCTGGGGACCTCTTGAATTGTCCCTGGGGCTGGCTCTGAGTGGGTATGTTCAGGAGGACACCTGTGTGGCCATCTGCCCCGAGGAGATAAGAGGGTCACCTGCTTCCATCCTTCTAGATGGCCATGGCCAGGCTTGAGTCTAGTGACCTTGGGCTGATGACACTAAGAGGGATGGGCGGCGAGGACAGTCAGTTTCAGGAGTGCAACCTGGCCATGTGACCCGGGTTCCCAAAGAGTCAGGCCTGCCTGGGTCATGCTAATAGCACATGTGAGCCCCTCGCTCCTTCCTGATCCAGCCACGTCAAAGTGCTGTCCTCAAAGAAAGCTGTGGCTCGCTAATTAGCAACTCAAGAAGGACAAGTCACCAGCCACCTGCTCTTTGTCCAGCCTTCACCCATCCCAGTCACCACAAGCTGGGACTCCCCATGTACCATACCGCATTTTATCAGCCCCAGCCCTGCCCCGCCTCACCCCCATTTGAAGCCAGAAAAGAAAAATAATACTCCAGAGCCCCAAGTCTTGCCAACAACTTGTGGACGCGGCAGGGGAAGAAGGGTCAGAATTCTTTCCCCAGCACTTAAGTTTCCAACAGGATATTTATGAGTAATTTATTTTGATATGTACATCTCTTTTTATTTTCTTACTTTATTTATACCCCGAAATTGTATTTATGTACATGAGGTTTGTTTTCTACATTAAAATGGAGTTGGTTTGTATCAAAGTTTGTGCATTTGGGTATCGTGGTAAAAGGCTCCTGACCAATGGAGCCGCAGGAGGGGCGGGGCTGGCATTGCTGTCCGGGGCAGGGGTCCCTGTGCTCTCAACAGCCCTGTTACATCTCATTCCTTAGCCTCACTCTGCTTCTGTGCAGGGGGTCTCCTGTGGTGGCACATGCCTGGCCTGTAATCCCAGCATTTAGGAGGCTGAGGCAAGACAGTCTCCCCCGACCCCGAGAAAGAGAGAATTCAAAGCCAGCCTGGATTACATAGTTGTAGTTAGCTAGAACCTGTCTCCAAACACGAACAATACCACTGGTATAAGCGAGGATGGCTCGCCTTTAGCAGGTCTGGGACCGACTTCATAATGCTGTGCAAGTCCCCTCCCTCCACATGTGCCGGGCATTGGCAACATCCCCAGTGGATACCCACAAGATGACAGCAGCCACCCGCTGACAGTCAGAAATACCTCCACACCTGAGTGGTGGTGGTCCCTGTATACAATCCCAGCGCTCCGGAAGGCAGAGGCAGAAGGATGGCAGGTTTGAGCCCAGCCTGGGCAGTTTAATGCCTCTATAAAACATTAAAAGGACTGGGACTGCAGCTCAATGAGAAGACTCTGGGTTCAATCTACTAATGCAGGAAAAAAAATCTAAAATCAAAAGTTTGCAGTTCTGCTGCATGAGCCCTCCCTGAGTAACTGATTTCTTTTTGTTCATTAACAAATCCTGAGAGATCCAGGTCATCCCAGCCTGTGTTGCCCATCTGTGCTGTGCTCCAATGCCTTGGTGGGGGGAGGGGCCTCTCTCACTCCTGGCTTCTGTCAGGCCCAATCTAGAGGGGGATCCCATCAGGAAAGTCAGCTCTTCCTTAAACCTGACAAGTTCCGCCAGGGCTGGGACTGAATCCTGGGGCCACTGGCCAGCTGCACGGCAGGCTGGGGAAGCAAAATGAAGCAGGCCATGTGGCTTTCCTGAGCAGAGAGGGCTCTGCTGGCCAGGAAGGAACAGGAGTGACAGTGAGAGGTGAAGTGTGACCCCACAACCTTGCTGCAAGCACAGGTCAGTCCTGAAGTCCAGGTCCAGGACGGTGCCCCAGAGATCACGGATCACAGAGGTCTCTGCCAGATCTTTGTGCTGGGGTTGATTCTTTCTGCCTGTGACCACAGTGACAATCACCACTGGTGATGAGAGCCACGCCCATCATAAGGTGTTGCCATTGTGGGGGTCCAGGAGAAGGGGACCAGGACAGTCTGGACTGCCTTGGGTTTTTGTTTTTGCTGTTTTTGCGATGGGGTCTCAATATGTGGTCCAGGCTGGCTTGGAAAACTATGTAACCCCAGCTGGCCTCCAACCTCTGGTAACCTCCTGCCTCTGCCTTCCAAATGCGGGGATTACAGGGATGAGCCTTCAACTGCCTAGGAATCTAGCATTATTTCAAATAATAGGATGTGGCCTGGATACAGGGACCTTTATAGGCCCGCTGGGGTTCTGACAAGCAGTCCAAAGTGACATTAACTAGTTCGAGAGAAGGAACTCGGGAGGAGGGTTAGTTATCAGGGCCTCCTCTGGGACCTCTGCCTCCAGAGTGGCTGACAGAAATAAATGAATGAATATGTGACTGTAAACTAATTCATGCTGCAGTGTTGATGTCTGATATATCTTCTCTCCAGACCACATTTGGACTGGACCTTAGAGTGACCACTTGTTCAGTGGATGGTGTGGGACTTCAGACAGGTCTATGCTGCAGGATTTGCATCTGAACACCACTTCCTCTGCCCACTGCCCACCCCAGCTTCCGCATGGACTGCCTCTGATATGTGCCAAATTTCATGAATCAAAATGCAGCAAGGGGGGGCTGGGGATTTAGCTCAGCAGCATAAGCACCTGCCTTGCAAGCAGGCGGTCATGAGCTCTATCCCTGTTACCAATAAAAGAAAAAAAAAAATGCAGCACCCCCACTACATTTGAATTTGAAATAAATAATGCTTTCTTTTCCTAAACTCCTAAGTATGTTCCATATGCTATTTGGGATATACGCCTGCTAAAAAATGATTTATGATCTAAAATTCAGATGTAGCCAAGTGTCCTGTTTTGCTAGTCCCTCTAACCTTAGGTATGCGTCACTGACACGGTGGTCAGTCATGAGGTCTGGGCTCAAAGCAGAGTCCAGCTGGGCGGGGAGGGGACAGGGGGGAGGCAGAGGGGCACAGGTCTAGGAAGGGCTTGCTTTCCTCTTCCCCAGTGGTGAAGAGAGGGGCTCCAGCTGGGCAACTTGCCCTGTGACGGCCCTGCCAAGGAGAGCTGGACCCTGAGACCCCAGTATTAGGACTCCCGCAGCTCCAAGTGGCAGAAAACGCTGCTCAAACTGGCTTAAAGGAAAAAAGCACAAAGGGAAGTATGGCTCACCTCAGGAAGCGGCTCATCCCAGCACTCTGGAAGGCTGAGACAGGAGGATCCAGAATCCAAGCCCCGCCTGGGCCAGTGTGGTGAATTAGTGAGACCTGTGTCAAAGCAAAAAAGAAAAAGGCCTGGGGAGGTCACTCAGTGTAGAGGCCCTGGGTTCAACCCCCAGGGCCAAAGGAAGAATGGAGAGGAAAGAGAAGGGAAGGGGAGGGGAGGGGAGGGGAGGAAGGGGAGGGGAGGGGAGGGAAGAGAGGGGAGGGGAGGGAAGAGGGGAGGGGAGGAGGCACAGGCGAGGCCGGGCCCCGGAAGTACCCTACCGGTCTCTGTTTTTAGGCACTGGCTCCTCTGGTGACAAGATGGCCCCAGCAGCTGCCAGTTAATCTTGTACCTTCTGGCAGCTCTGTCCAGGTAACAGGCACCCTGGCCCTCTCACCCCCAGCTTCGGGCAGGACGCGGGGTGGGGTGTCCTTTCTCATCCCAGCAGAGGTCAGGATGCCATCACTTCCTTCAGCCTGGAGGAAATCCCAGGGCAATGGTGGTCCCCCTGAGTCACCTCACCATTGTGGGATCAACTCACCTCTGCAGTCTGGGAAGCGACAGCCAGAAAGTTCTGAAGGACCGAAGAGCAGTTCTGAAGGGAGGGTGGGAAGGAGCACTGTCTGGCATTCTGCAAAGTGTAATCCCTATTTCCTGGCACGCAGCTCCCAAAGTCCCTGAAGTTGGGATTCCTTTGGTATGCTAATGAGTTGACCCTTGGCTGGCAGCCCCGGGGGACTTCTGGGTGGGTTGGTTACCCAGAAGAAAGCCTGGAATTAGCCCCACCCACCTCCACCCCGGAGGGTGGAGATGGGACTGAAGGTTGAGCTGATTTCTGGAGGCCGAGGCAGTGCAGTCTTTGGGAACTCAAACTTCCCATTTTGCTAAAGAGTGAGGGGTCCGGAAGGGGAGGTGCAGAGCGAGGGCTCCCCTACACCGTGCACCTCCCCATCAGCATCCTTGGTGCTGAACAATTCAGGAAGTGCATCCTGGTGCTGTGAGCCACTGGACCTCGCAAGGAATGGAGTTCAAGTGGGGGCCTGTGGGAGCTTCAGAGTACAGCAGCTCAGGCAGAAGCCCTCGGGCTGTGACAGGCATCCTAGGGGGAGGGGCAGTCATGGGGGCAGGCACCCTCTGAGGGAGGCAGCACAGAAATAAATCCGGTTAGAGGGCGCCCCACCAACGCCCCTAGGGGTGATCTTCCTTGTGAGTGGACACCAGGAGAAACTGAGGCTGTTTGTGTTTTTCTGTCACAGATTTGCCCCCCAGTCCTGTGTCTTTTGGTGGGGGGAAGAGTGGGCCTTTTGCCCCCAAAGGTTGGGAGGGAGGAATTGTTGTATTTTTCAATTCCATCTTTTCTACCTGGTTCTTTTTCATAACTTCCTTTAATGGCAAAGAAGTTTCCGTGGGTTCATTTCAGTTCAAGAGAATTCCTTACCCAGCACGGCAGCCCATGTCTGTAAACCCAGCACCCTGGGAGGCTGAGGCAGGAGGAGTCCGACATTTGAGCGCTGCCTGGACAACCTGGTGACTTGGCCAAAACCTTGTCTCACAAATAAAACATAAGAAAAGGGATGGAAAGTAGCTCAGTGCAAAGGCCCTGGGCTCGGTCCCGCAGAGGAGGGCGTGGGACGGAGAAAGGGACAAGCGCCCCTTCTTATGCTTGGTGAAGCGTTTAATGGTGGCCGCCTTCAAATCTGTGTCAGACGCTGCGGCCCCACGGTGATTCGGTGATTCGTCCTGGCGGGAATTGTTCTTACTCACTGAGGCCGCACGCTGGCCCCCGCCCCCGCCGGCACCCCGCTTTCCTCGGTGTGGTGTCTCTTTCGCTGCTCGCCCTCCCTTCCCGGTTCTTCTTTCCCTCCCTGCCTTCCTCCCCTTCCTTCTTTGCTTATTTCTCCTTCCTCCCCCCAGCCCCCCCCCCCAGCTGCCCAGCCTCCCCCGCCCTGCCCGCCCCCCCAGCTGCCCAGCCCCCCCCCCCGCCCTGCCCGCTCCCCCCCAGCCCCCCCCCAGCTGCCCAGCCTCCCCCGCCCTGCCCGCCCCCCCAGCTGCCCAGCCCCCCCCCCCGCCCTGCCCGCTCCCCCCCAGCCCCCCCCCAGCTGCCCAGCCCCCCACTTGGTCCCGGCCCCCTCCCTGCCTGTTTTCTCTTCTCATCTCTAGCTCAGGGGACTTCATGGTCACTAATTCTTCCCATCCCTGCAGCCCCCGAACGCAGCCCTCTTCCTGTTCTCACCCATGAGGCTGGAAAACCAGGAGCTCAGAGACACTGCAAACATGGCCAGGCATGGGTGCCTTCCAGGGGCCACCCTGCTGCTGGGCACTGGGTCCTATTAGCCATTTTCATGTTTATTTCTTTTTACCCTTTTGTTTTTTGGGACAGGGTCTTGCTATGTAGTTCAGGCCGGCCTTGAAATCATTATGTAGCCCAGGCTGGCTTCCTGCCTCAGCCTCCTGAGTGTTGGGATAACAGACATGCACCATCACACCCGGAAGTATTGTTAATTTTAAAGCATAATATTTAGCTATGCTTGAAAGGAAAATCTAAAGTTGGTGTGGTGGTGCATACCTATAATCCCAGGACTGCAGGAGGCCGAGGTAGGAGGATCTCAAGTTTAGTCT